GCATGAAGGACCCCGGCCCGCAGGGACAGGTCCTTGTCGGTCAGAGGGCCTCTCACATCGATTAAGGACCCCTGGGACACCGAGGGCCTCTATTTCAGTCAGAGATCACCAATACTGAACAGTCGGCTTCGAGTCGGTCTGAGCCATGGGAGCTCATTTCCCAAGCACGGACAAGACCGGGGGCCACGATTAGCATTGGCCGGGAGATTGGGACCTCTGAAACAGCGAGGGGCCATTTGTCGGTCAGGGGCCCACGGCGCCTAACAGAGCGTTTTGTGTTGGCAAGAAGTCTTAAGTCTTCCAGAGAAACGTTTGCTGAATAGGCGCAGGGACGGGACCCCGAATGCCAGAGGGCCTCTTGTCTTGGTCGCAGCCCCCCGACAATGAGGGAGATATTATAACTTATGATGAGGGTGCCCAGTGAGGCAATGGAAAGACCTTGTGTCGGTCAGAGCCCCCAGCACCAACGGGATCCTCCACCCAGTTCAGCCAATGGCCGTCAAACTGGAGTCTCTGTGCAAACTGTTTGACCACCTGGGGCAATAAAATGCATTTTTGCGCCAACGAGGGCTCTTGTGTTGATCCGAGGCCAAATGCCCGGATCAGTTGTCCCCCGGCGTCAGGGCAGACGACTTATCTATGATTGGTCTAAGGGCTTCCGTATTGACCAGGGCAGACGCATTCTTGAGCAGCACATATGTATGAATATGAATAAATGAAATATGAATATTTGCGTATAAACACAACACCACAGGCTAAGCATCTTGTTTTGATAGCATAACCAGGGCTTGCTTGATAACGTTGTTTGGCCGCGACCTCCTGGTGTATTCAAAGTCAATTATTGTCAACATAAGAGCTCCCAACGGCCAACCTAAAACTTTGTTTCGCTTGCATCGAGGTTGACTGGTGTAGCCATTACGCATTGCTTAAAACTTACTTTACGTGAAAACTGCATGTCGGTGGTTCTGGGCAGGCCAGGCAAATTATACGAACGAAACTGACGAAATTGTAGCAACGTACCGTGCATGCAATGTGGCGCTTTCCGGAGGATACAATAATGCAAAAGACACCATCCTGAGCGTGGACACCGGCCATAGTCAACTGGAGCACACGATTTTACAGCTTTCATGACACTGCCCTCTGGTTCAAGCCACAGCAGCATCTCGTTACACCAGTGCAGCACACTGGCTGATTCAAATCTGACTCACGCAGTGACTCGATTTTCAATTTAGCAGTTCGGTTGAAGGCATCGGACACAGGCGTGCCTTCGTGAAACGGTCGTTTTGGTGATGAGTTCATAACTGAGTTCATTAACTTTCTGTGTTCAGGATTTGTATTGTAGAATTTTCTTAGTATTCTTTTCTTTTTAGGACACACATAGAACCTTGAAACAGCTACACACATGGGACAGTTTACAGATGATGTTAATGGTGAAACCATGAAAACATTGATATATCGAGGGGTGTACTTCGTCCACGTGACCCACCTAATACGAGCAACATTTTTGTATTGGGCTGAATGGTGCGAACACCGACAGAAATGGTCATACTTACCCACGTGACTAAGAAAACAAACCCATAGGTTTTACGGACATCTGTTAACGTCTCAGCAGCCTCCATAACGAACTAAACACTTCAGCTACACCTG